ATATATATATAGGCGATTGCAACGCTCGAATACGTTATCTGGGGAGAGACCGGTTTCATGCCTTTGGCCCTTTTCCCTTCCCTCTCTTCCTCTTTTCAGTTGTGTAGGATTGTACTACGATAGTTTCCCTTTTCTTAATAATATTTTTCCTTTTTATTTAATAAAAATATTTTTTAAAATTTCCATGATACTTTCCTTTAGAACTATGTTTAATGTAGTTTGCAGTTCCATATAGTTTTAAAAATTAAAAGATTTTGATCTACATGAAAATCAAGACAGAAACTAACGTACTTCCCTCCTCTATGACTCTCCACACGCTACTGGTGAAAGCATGCGAAGTGTAGCCATAGGTAGAGAGTTTGGCTCTACGTCACCTGCAACCCATTTCGATTGCCAATAATGTCACAAGGAGATAAACCCCCTCCAAACTTACATTAAAACTACACCACTGCATGGCATGCGCATGTAGTCAGTCCCACAGTGGACTGATCGTTAAGACACGGTTCCCAGTAGGTCATCGAAGTCAAGCATCACTGGCTGCGGTCAGTGTGCGGGTGGGCTACCACTTAGATCAGTCTGCGTAGGGACCGAAGGTGTGCGGTATTGGTTCTCGTTAAACTGTTCTACAGTAAAGTGCTCGACTTCGCGTGCAGGTCGTTGGGCTGCCAAAGCGGGGTAGTTATCCCCTCCGCAGAGGATCAAAATTGTGATGGCCTGTCTTCGGATCATCCTCAGAGATGTTTCCCAGACTGTCGCCAATAGCACATTGTGCAGCTCTAGTGCGACGTAAATGAATTACAACAACAACAGCATGCGCATATAACCTCTGCGCGACATGTCGGGAAATCCGTCTTCAGTATAAAACTCTCGCTTCCCATTCGCTTTAGTACTTCTATGCACGGAAAGGCAATACTTCAAGTCAACAGGTCATTTTTAAAAGCCTGTAATTATATTACAGACATACCTTCTTTTTACTTTCAGTTTAAATTTTACTGAAATATTTGGCATGGGGGGCCCACAAGGGGATTCAAAACGGGGTCAAAAGAGTGCAAGGTCATCCCCTTAAAATGAAAAAGACTGTTTTATTTTTAATGCTTTAAATTTTTATTTCAAGTAATTCTAATTAATCCTTTTTATGTGCATTACGAGCATTTTTAAATTTAATGATATAAACAAATATTTTTTTGTCTGCTAATTTGAAAATGAAGTCAACAATTAAAAATTGTTAAACACTGTAGTTATTACTTTTTCTTTTGTTCTCGTGCCATAACTTGAAAATTTTATATAAAGCATAATTTTTTTAATTTATTTACTATTTATTTTAAAATCTAAATGTTGTTCACAATTTATTTATTTTTATTAATTTTTTTTTAAAAATATGTCTATTTACTAGCTTTAGCTAAATTATTAAACTAACTTGTGAAATTTTTTTCTGCGCGCACTTAAAAATATTTTTTTAAAATACAGAAAAAAATTATTTATGCTATATTAAATATTTTATTTTATTTTTTTATATCCATTGTTGAACAGCTGACCCAATTTCGAGTTTACGACTACTGATGTTCAACACCATAGCCTTGTAATTTTGAACCAATTCAGAAGGCAAGGAAACTCCCGGATCAGTACCCCCAGAGGTATTGAATTGTTATGGGAACATGAAATACTTTGCGACTCGACAGATTTAACGAGCATCTGTCACCATTTACTGCATGGTGAATCTTCGGCCGGCGGGAGTCGCACCCACGAACTCTTAAGCATGGGCCCAGTGCCCTACCAATCAGGCTATCCTGGCCTTCCATTATCTCAGTTATTTATTTCAATTATCTTGGTTGTAGCTCACAGAAAAAATTTCTGCTGGCCCCTTGCTATGTTTTTTCTTCCCCGTAGTAACAAGGAATAGTAGATCCCTACTTATATGTATTTTAGAATTTCGCCCTCCTTAAAAATAAATTTTTAAAAAAAATTGATGAATCTGTCACTCTTGCTAATCGAGTATAATCAGTGATGCAGCCAAAAAAGACTTTTCTTGAAGGGATTAATTTTCATAAAAAGTCCGCACGCTAATTTAAATCGAATAATTTTCAATAAAATTTCTTTTCTTTTAACAAAATTATTGAGTAATTAATATTGTACAATATCAATAGTTTTAACCTTCTAAATATGTTATTTATTTAAATGTAACATATAAAGACAGAATTACAAAAATATAAATTTTTCATTGCCTTGTATATCGTCCATCAAACTTCCAAGCGAAAAGTGTAAGATATGAACTTGTTTAGTCCAAAATACGCTATGTTCAGATAACTAAATTAAAGGTAAAACATTTACGACTTTTTTTTTTTTTTTTTTTTTTTTTTTTTTTTTTTTTTTGCACTGCAGAATTTATTTTGAAACTGATTTTAAGTGTCAAAAGACGTTCGTCAATTTATTTGAAAAAGCCCATATATAACAAAAAGATTTATGCAAAATATAAAAAAAAGGTTTGCATAGTCCAAAAGACGTATAGTTCAGAATAAATATATCACTAACAAGAAGGTGAACATTTTGCAGACTTTTTAATATTTTTGCTATGTGAAATTTATTTGAAACTGGTTTCGAAACTTCAAATAAGCGTCAATTTACGTAACAACACTCATAATATCAAAAATATTTACTTTTATTTACTTATTTTAAAAACGAAAGAAAGAAAAGGATCTTGCTTGCTTCATAGTAAGTACACTACTGACCATTAAAATTGCTGCACCAGGAAGGAATGCAAATAACAGAATGATATTTATTGGGCACATACATTATAGATGGAAGTATTTGGATGCATAGATCCTGACGAGTCAGTACTCAGAGCAGCATCCCCTGGCAGCAATAACAGCAGTTATTCTCCTTGGCATCGAGTCGAACATAGATTGGATAGCATGGACGGGTACAGCATTCCATGCAGCTTCAACATTATGCCACAATTCATTGACGGTAGCGACTGACGAGTGGTGGCGTGCCAGTCGTTCGGCAACCATTAACCAGACGTTTTCAATTGGTGAGAGATCAGGAGAACGTGCCGAACAAGGCAACAGGCAAACATGTTCCTTGTCAAGGAAGGTCAGGACAGTGCGGGCAACATACAGTAGAGCATTAACCTGCTGAAAAGTAGCGTTATGGAAGCCTCGAGCTAAGGTAGAGCAACTGACTCTAACACAACATAACTGTAACGGCTGTTGTTCAAAGTCCCGGCAATGCGAACAAGAGGTGATCGAGACGTGTATCCAATGGCACCCCATACTATTACTCCAGAGTCCATGCTGCGGCAAATGTTGCCGAACTGTTCGTGCAGATACTTGTTGTCTTGCAAATGACCCCATTTGTTGACTGTTAGAGATGGG